CTGCCGAGCTGGAGAGCTTGGGGACCCTGCTGTCACAGTCACCTTAGCCTCTGCCAAGGCTTTCCCAGGAGTGCACTGCCAACCTCCCTCTCACACTGTACGAGGTTGATACCTTTCACTCCTCTGCCCTTGGTGCAGAAACACCGGCTGAGCCCCTGGAGACAGAGTGGGATCGGAGAGAACTAACCTGTGAGGTGCAGGGGGGTGGGGCGGCAAAGTAGAGGCCCAGGCTCAGGCTCGCTGAGTCCCTACTGCACCCTGGGTCAGGTCCTCATCCTCACCTTTTTTGTAGCCTCAGAGTAGCTCCTGAATGTCCAAGCCAGCTCCTGTGCTCCCTGCTCCAAAACTGACAGGAAGAAGGATAAATTCCTCTAGGTGAGCTGAATGCTGGTGGCTAGGTCCAAGGGAAGCAAGGTGGCTAGAAGCAGAAGGCGCCCCTCTTCCAGCCCTAGTTCCTCTGTCGTAGTTGTTGTCTCACTGTCATCGTCATGTCAGTCATCATGGTGGTGCCCCTGGTGTGAGGATAATTCCTGCTCTCAGCATTTAAGCGAACCAACGACTAGAATGCACTGGAAGACGGGCTGCCCAACCAAACTCCAAGCCAGGGCCCCAGAGCCCTGGTAGAAGCAAAAGAGGCTGTACTCACAGGGACCTAAAATACAGGAAACCTTCCTCCACTTTGCCTGCACCCCCAAAGGCACAGGGACATTTTGCTTTAATCAAGGGCCATTTCCTAGAGAAAGATATCTTATGCTGCCCACTATGGGAACGACTTGAATTTTCCCTGGTAGTTTATCTTACTTCCATGGCTCACCCTGAAAACAATTTAAAACAGGAAGAAAATGATCACTGGTGGCACCCCACTCTGTCCTCTCAACTCCCAAGAAAGGGAGGGCAGGTTTACCCCTGTCACAGACAGGGAAACTGAGGCCTAAGAAGGGCAGCAGATTAGGCCAGTAACGAGCTAGTGGGAAGCCAAGCTCTGGTTCCGCAGCTCTGCTCTGGTGGATCGCTGGCTGCAGGCAGGGCTGAGGACGGCAGTCTGTCTCCAGCGCTCTCCGAGGCCAAGGCATACAATGCACTCGCCCTGACTGACTGTCCCAGAGTGCGAAACAGACAGTCACTGTGTTCCTGCTGCACGGAGATTCTCGGATCTGATTTGCAAGCAGGGGCTTGGAGTCGCAGTTGTCACTCAGGAAGGACCGTGCCTCAGACCAAGTCGGTAAGCACAAGCTCTGAGATCCCGGAAAGGACAGAGGAAAGAGGCCATGGGGCCAGGAGGAAGGATCCCCAAAGACCTGGGTTCCCCTCAGCATGGATCCTTCTCTCTGCAAGACTTTAAGCAAGACCCTTTCCAAACTGGGTCTATAGTTTGACTTTTCCAAAATTCTCCTAAGAGGAGCTGGTTACCCCTGCATTAGCATGAAGGGGCATCTGCGTCTGGGGACGTGTGGGAATTTTCCATGACGTCTAGGATCCCTTCCTTTATATTTACAAACCTCTGAGGGCATTTCAAAGTAGCCTCCAGCATCTTTATAGATCGTCACTCCCCCCACCAACCCCCCCATCCTCACCAAAAAAACTTCAGGGTACCCAGGATACACACAGAGCTTAAGGCCTACACGAAGCAGACAGAATCACCCTGCTCCCCCTATCACCCAACTCACTTCTGCTGGATGAGGAAAATGACTTCCAAGGGGCTGGAACCCATTAGGGTTGCTTTCAATGGTTCTCAAAAGGACCTGTCACCCCCCACCCCCCCCCCCCCCCCCCCCATGAAAGTTAAGGATCACTGCCGCCAGACAAATGAGGGAATGCCCTGGCACGGAGGGGATATTTACATATAGTTTTGATCCAAACGGGTAACCTGTCCCAGTTCATTCAGCAAGTCATTTAATTCAAACTTTACATTGTGGAATGACAAAATCTTTAAAATACATGATTTTAAATGGTATTATAAGATTAAAACATTTATAGAATAGAGTCTTAAGGATTCTCTGTTCATGAAAATCTTAGGCTGTGATCTTAGGAATTCAAATCGCAGGATGTCCTTACTCTGGTGCACAGTTGCAGCAAAGTTGGAGAAAGAGGAATCTAGAAGAATGAGTCCACAGGCAGACAACACTGGTGATCAATAAGGCTTCTAACTACAGTCATTGGGGGTTAAGAGAAATGTAAAAGCAGCACAGGGCTGATGCATAAAGCACAGTCACAAGCAATATACGAATTATGATAGATTCTTTGAGTTACAGAATAGTAGATCTCGCATTTACAACTTTCAATTAATAAAGAGCTGTAATTTTATAGGACCCAAATCTTCCCATCAAACATTCCCAGACAGTATTCAAATTAAGTCATATTTTGAGTCGCAAAAATACCTAAAAACTAGAGACGCTGCAGGTCCCAGTAGTAGCATTTTTCAGGCACAAAATTTCAGCATCTTAAAATGTGAGGCAATTGCTTTTAGTCTTTGACAGAAGCTGCAAGTCACAGGAATGTAGTCACAGTAAAAGAATTCAGACTTCAGGTGATTGGAATCTTAGAATTGCAGAATCATTTTCTTTCATAGAATCGTATTAGAATAATGGTTCAACATTTAAAATCTGTACATTTGAATCTCAAAATCTTGGAAATAGAACCACAGAGTCCCGTGTTACAAGGTTGCTATGATGTGCTCTGGTTAAAATTTTTTTTAAAAAAAACCACTTTTTTTTTTCCTTTGGGAAAACGTAACAGGACGATCCCTGGATTTTTGCATTTCGATACTTTGCAAGAATGCAGGTGAGACTTGAGTTTAAGTGAATGAAAAGTCACTGTCCAGCAGATAAGAATCCCTCGATTGAGGAACGCCGCCACGCAAATTGTGTGACCGCTTTTCCACTCCCGGATCGCGAGAGTGAAGATCTGGACTCTTGAGTCTTTCTTCCCAAGGCAATCACCCAACGCTGGGCGGCTGAGCCTGCTCCCGACTTACTACCGCAAAGACCGCGACTAAAACCCCCAAAGTCGGGCCGCCCTCGCCCTGCCGGGTGGCTGCATCCACCCCACTCTGCACCCACAGCCCGGAGGAAAGCTGAGTACAGGCTGGCACCCCACAAGACCCGAAACCCTAAAGGTGGAACAGATGACCTCTGAGATGCGCGCATGCCCTTCCGCCCCCAATTCACAAGGAGAAAACCGAGGCCTGCCAGGGGCGAAGGACAGGCCCGAGGTCTTTCGCCCGCGGTTAGATCACGGAGCGAGCCCAGGCCCGGGAGGCTGCGGGCCGCGGGGCGTCTCGGGGGAGGCCAGTTGCGCCTTCGTGGGTCTGCAGGAAACAAATTCAGAAACAAGACACCCGGGAAGCATACGGATCCTCTCCTCTTCCCCGGACACTCGCCCACCCAGAGCGCCTGCCCTCCTCCCCCGCAGGCCTCAAGTCCTGTCGCGGGAAGGCGCGGTCCGGGCGGGTGTCCGGAGCCTCGCGGGCCTGGGAGAGCTGCAGGCGGCTGCTGCGAGGGACAGCGCCTGGCCGCCCTCCGCTTTACGCCGTGTGCCACGCTCCATCCCAGAGGGTCCCGAGCCACAGACAGACGACTGGAGGTGGGGGAACAGCCCTTCCCCTAACTATCGGCCCCAGAAAGGCTCTTGAAATCCAAACCCTCCGTGCAGTCCACGCACTGAGCCCCAAAGAGGGAAGGCGGCCGCCAGGGCACGCGGCGGGGACGCGCAGTCCTAGCAGAGCGCAGGTGCCAGACTCCGCTAAGCTGCGAAGTCACGGTGTGGCCCAGCGGGGCACCCCCCTATCGGGACTGGGAGTCTTCATCTGCGAGACGCGGGGCTGGATGGAGAATGGGCAGGGCAGCCTTGGCTGGGTTTTTCAAATCATCCTTAAAGACCTTGGAAGCCAGTCACCCCAAACATCTTCTCCCTTCTCGGTCCTCCACCAGCCACAAGAACCAAGCGCCTCCTCGGTCAATTCTCGCCCACTGAGGAACCCAGCCCCCCCCCCAAAAAAAAAAGGTTAAGCGAGCCCCTTCTTTCACCGGCCAGTCCCAGCCCACCGCGGAGGCCAGAAAAATCCTGGAGCGCTGGGTTAGGGCGCTGAGATCTCCCGACCTCAGTCTCCCCGCCGGCCGGCGGAGAAGGCCAGCCCGGGGGATCTCTAAGCGCCCTCCCCGCACTGACGTAGTGGGGCTCCGGACGCGCCTACCTGGGAAGGTGCGCCTGGGACCTGGGGGCGGGCAGTCGGGGGGCGGGCACGGGCGCCGCCCCAAGTTTCCCCGCGTCTTTAAGGAGAAGTCGGTGGAGGGAGGAGCCGGCCTGGAGTACACAGGGAAGCGCCTCGCCAGCGGTCTCGCGGCTGGAGGCCAGCCCTGCGGAGACAACAGTCGCCCGCCGCCCCGCCGGGCCCGCGCCCGAAGCTTGCCGCCAGCACCCCTTCTTCTCGCCCTCCGCGCGGCAGGGGCGCGGCCTAAGCGGCCCCCACCGGAGTGTCCCGCGCCCGCACCAACTGCCCTCGCTTGGGGCCTTCGGACTCGCAGCCTCCCGTGCGCTCGGGGCCTCGACGGCTACTCTCGGATCAGCGGGGAAGCCGGGCCCGCAGCCGTCGCCCCGCCCTGGGCCCAGTTCCGAACTCCTCGACAGCCTGGCACCCGCGCGCAGAGCAGTCTTCGTCCCGAGCCCGGGACCTACTCCTGGTGGCGGCGCCGCCGCGGGCGCCTGACCTCGCGCTCCGGAGCACGAGCGGCGCCGCGGGGGGGGCGGGCCACGCGCGCCTCCGCCTCTCAGCCAGCTCGGAAGGTGCGGGCGCCGGGCCTCCCGCGCGCCCCCCGCGCGCCCCTGCCCGGGCAGCCGTGCCCTCGGCGCCCGCCCGCGAGCAAGCGGCGAGCTCTCGGCGGGAGGTGCCCGCGTCCCCGCCCGCGCCCGCGCCCCCCGGGTCCTGCGACTCCCCGGCCCGCCCGCGCCCCTCGACAGCAGCGGGCGGCGGGGACGCCCGGGGCGCGCGGGACGGCCGCGCCATGACGGCCGAGAGCGGGCCGCCGCCGCCCCCACAGCCCGAGGCGCTGGCGTCCGTGAAGGAGGAGCGCGGCGAGGCCGGGGCCGGGGTCCCCGCGGAGGCCGCGGGCCGCAGCGCGGGGGGCGGCGGCGCAAGCGCCCCCTGCAGCGCGGGAAGCCGCCCTACAGCTACATCGCGCTCATCGCCATGGCCATCGCGCACGCGCCGGAGCGCCGCCTCACGCTGGGCGGCATCTACAAGTTCATCACCGAGCGCTTCCCCTTCTACCGCGACAACCCCAAGAAGTGGCAGAACAGCATCCGCCACAACCTCACGCTCAACGACTGCTTCCTCAAGATCCCGCGCGAGGCCGGCCGCCCGGGCAAGGGCAACTACTGGGCGCTCGACCCCAACGCGGAGGACATGTTCGAGAGCGGCAGCTTCCTGCGCCGCCGCAAGCGCTTCAAGCGCTCGGACCTCTCCACCTACCCGGCTTACATGCACGACGCGGCCGCCGCCGCCGCTGCGGCTGCAGCGGCCGCCGCGGCCGCCATTTTCCCGGGCGCCGTGCCCGCCGCGCGCCCGCCCTACCCGGGCGCCGTCTATGCCGGCTATGCCCCGCCGGCGCTCGCCGCGCCGCCGCCGGTCTACTACCCCGCCGCGTCGCCGGGCCCCTGCCGCGTCTTCGGCCTGGTGCCCGAGCGGCCGCTTAGCCCGGAGCTGGGCCCCGCGCCGTCGGGGCCCGCCGGCTCTTGCGCCTTTGCCTCGGCCGGCGCCACGGCCGCCACCAGCGGCTACCAGAACGCCGGCTGCGCGGGGGCGCGGCCCGCCAATCCCTCCGCGTACGCGGCCGCCTACGCCGGCCCCGACGGCGCGTACCCGCAAGGGGCCGGCAGCGCGCTCTTCGCCGCCGCGGGCCGCTTGGCCGGACCCGCTTCGCCCCCCGCGGGCGGCGGCGGGGGCGGCGTGGAGAGCGCGGTGGACTTCTATGGGCGCACGTCGCCCGGCCAGTTCGGAGCTCTGGGTCCCTGCTACAATCCGGGAGGGCAGCTCGGAGGGAGCGGTGGAGCCGTCTATCACGCGCGCCATGCGGCCGCTTATCCTGGCGGGGTGGATCGGTTCGTGTCCGCCATGTGAGCCGAACACACGGTAGAAATGTCACAGATACCTCTGCTGTCCACAAGCACTAAGTATCCTGAGGACGGGACTGGAGAGAGGACCGAATTGAGAGCCACGTGGAAGGGATCCAGTAGGCCGGCCGGAGAGGCTCTGCGTCCTGGCGCACCTCGCACACATCCCCTTCTTGTTGTAAATAGGAGGAGATGGGGAGAGGCAGCCTGCGCCAGCGGACTGGGAACCAACGACCCACCACAACGAGGAGCGACTCCAAAAGGACATGCCTTTCTGACATTCTGCCGGGATGGGCTTTTGATAATAAATGGGGAAGCGCGTAGTGTCTACGCTAGAGTCTAGGATCCGAATTGTGGGGAATCACGTAACTTCACTGGTCCCTCTGTTGCGCGAAATTCTGACCTTTTTTATGCGGTTCGGCCTCTTGTGCCTTTGAGTACGTTCCTGCAATAAAAGGCTCCAATAGCGCCTTCCTTCTTAAGGTGAGGAGGACACGTTTGCAAAAGAAGTAAACGAAGTAGTTTTTTTTTTTTTTTTTTTTTTTAAATGGGAGAAACCGCTCTGCTTCACTTGACCTTGGCTGGTTTTTCCTGCCTCTGAGAACAGCAGGTCTGGCTCTGAGTCTGGACTGTGCGTCTCAGCTACCCAGCGTGACCCAGTCTCATCATTCACACACCCCAGTCCTCGTCTGTTACACAGAAGGACTGCAGAATTCGACATCCCACCCCCAATGTGATCCTTAAGAGCCCCATCATGGTGGGGGCTGCCTTTCATATTTGGCAGCATCTGTAACCCACCCAAGGCCTGAATAGCCACCCACAACCTACTCCTGTTCTGGGGGATTGTAAAGGAGTTCACCTCAAGCATTAACCAAAGTAAAGTCTCTGGATTACCTCCAGGCAGCGCTTATAGCATAATTTCTTGAATCTTTTAAGCATGAGGTGCTGACCATTCAGCAGCTATTACTGCTGGGTCCTTAACGCAGTTTTCCAAGCAAGCAGGTAGAAATATATCTTACCCATTGTCCATTGTTTCTTTCCATTAAGCAGCCGGGGCCCAATGGGCAAACTAAAAGTTCAAAGAGGTGACAGGATACAGGGGAACCCTTTGGCCGCAGCTTTCAGTAGGACTGATCCTTCCACCCCTGGCATCCACCGCCATACTTCAGCAGTCTCCCTATGCAAAATGGCAAGAGAAAAGTTCATTGGAGCCATGAGTAAAAGTAAGCTTTAGAAAGAAATTGGATTTTTAACTTTGTTTTGTTTCTGTGTGTCTGTTTTAAGCAGCAAACTGAGCAAGATCAGGGAAAAATCCAACCATTTCCCACCTTTCTCATGAGAAATCTTGTAAGTTTTGGCTCTGAATAAAAATTTCCAGCCTTAAATATTTCAGAGGCTCGGTGCACAGCTTTCAGATAACCCTGAGTGTTCAAATAAAAACCTTTGAGCAAGTGACTTCTGACGAGAGAAACTCAGCCTCTTTCTGGGTAGTGAACTTGGTAGGGAAGGGTAGGGGTGTGAAAAAGATTATATGAAAACCATTGGTGATTTTTATGTTTCATTTTGGAGACTGTGCTATCCTGTTAACAAAGACACATGAATGTGATTCAGTCCAGACGGGTGTTTGTCTAAACCAGTGCCATCCAACAGAAATAGAATGCAAGCCACATGTGTAAAATTTATATTTTTCTAGTAGCCTCATTAGTAAAATAAAAAGAAATGCGTGAGATTAATAGTATATTGTATTTAACCCAGTATATCCAAGAAATTTCAACACTCTGTATAAAAATTGTTGAAATAATCATTGTTTCCACACTAATCTTCAAAATCTGGAGTGTATTTTACACCTGCAGCTCGTCTAAATTTGGATTAGCCACATGCCACGTGTTCAGTAGCAATGGGTGGCTGATGGCTACTGTAGTGGACAACACAGGTCTAGATGCTGGTCCTTCCTGACTGTGGAGATGGTAAATGACCACCTGGAGACAGGACGTAGCGGGAGCATTGACTGTTGCCAAAGGGTCTAGCCCGGTGTGTCTCGGGCAGTGCAGTTCAAACCAGGCTGAATTCATTCCAGCAACGTTGTCCTACTTTTCCAGGCACTCTGAGACCTTGGGAAAGGCAAGGTTTTGGCTTCCCTTATCTCTACCTGGACTCTTGAAGGCATGGAAGACAAAGGTTGTCCTTGGGCAAGGAGACAGGTTGGCTGTCCCAAGCAGAAGTCAAGATATCTTGCCCAGTAGAGAGTACCCTGAAATTCAGAGTCCCCCATCCAGGGGTTTTGAGTTTTATCCTTATCTAGTAAGAGCCCAGCCACAACATTTGGGCCGGAGAAGGGTGATCTAAGTAAGTAACTCATTAGTGCCTGCCCGAGTTGGAGTTGACCCTGTATGTTTTTTATTTTTATTTTTTTAAAGATTTATTTATTTATTTATACAAGCACTGGGTACAGTCAGAAGCGCGGGAGGGTGAGAGAATCCACCAGAGCCAGAGCGGGGAGCAGAGCAGGCAGAAGGACCGAAGTACACTGCTGAGGGGAGCAGCGGGCCGCAGGAGAGGTCTGCGCGCCATGTGGGACCCTTCTCCGGTGGCCGGGGAGCAGCCGGGGATCGAACCGGCGCTGCAGAGGCTGCGGGCAGCTTGGCAACCCAGCGCTCCACCGCTACGCCACCGGGGAGGCCCCCTGTATGTTTTTTAAATACCAAATCGAGTGCTCTGACAGTACCATTAAACTTAAGCCGGTCGCTTCTCTAATGTCCTCGTTTGTGAAATGGGAGCGTGTGACCCCTACACCTCAAGGGCCCTCTCAAAGTTAACGGGGACACGCGTGTTGAGAGTGTTTTGCTGATTGTAAAGCATTCGCAGAGGAGGGAAGAAAGGTTTAACATTATTTAAGGTTTAGATTTTTTTTTAAAGCGGTGCCTTGTCTGAAAACTCGGAGTTTCGCTGTAAAGCCGGGGGAGACAAAAAGAGCGGGTGGCAAAGTGCAGGCGTCCCAGCCACCCACCTTCCTCTGCGGCGTGGGCGATAGTTGAGGTCGTGCCAAAAACGACAAAAGCTCGGGGAGGGGAGCAGGGGAGGGTCTTTCTGGGGAGGACCCTGGGCGAGTACAGTGGGAGTCGGGAGAGATGCAACCCGCGACGGCTGGGATCAAGAAGTTGGAGACTGAGCTTCAGCTCTTGCCGACCTCCCGCCGACCGACCGGCGACCCCCAGAACTCGCGAGCCCCTCAGGTGCAGCGCGCACCGGAACGCACACCGCGCGGCGGGGAGCGCCTCCAAGCCGCGCGCCTCGCCGCTCCGGCGCAGCGGGGGCCTCGCACCGACCCTCAAGTCTGACGACTCCAGACTATCGAGAACACTTCACTACAGTGTCTTGGAACATTCCAACTCCAAGAATCCCCAACCGTAGAACAGGACCGCCCAGTTCAGGGGGGCTTAAAGATGGGAGGTGCGTTTTTCTCTTTGTTGGTTTTTTCTTTCCTTTTTCTATTATGAAAACAGAAAAATCGTTTACCCCTCTCTGGACCGTGCACCCCCAGCGTCGTGTGCAGGCGCCCTCGGGCTGTAGGTAATTAGATGCGTTCTTCCCTAATTGCCCAAGGCTCGTTAGAATTCGCCCCAGAGCTGTAACATTTATTTTCTTTCAAATTAACTTTGCTTGCAATTAAGCTTAGGAAACCAGCAACAAAAGCAGACTTGGCCCGAGGTCGTTTACTACGAAAACGGATTAGGGAACCATCTCGCCCCCCATTTAAGGGGGGAGCGAAGTGCGGCGAGCGCTCTGGGGGAAGAGCCCGGGCCACAGCGCGAGGAGGCGCAGAAAGCCACTCGCTGCAGCTGCCCGCGGTTCCCTCCCCGAGATCCGAGCGCCGGGAAAAGTAGGACAACCTCGCTGAAATGAATTCCGCATGCTTTGAACTGAACTACACGCCCAAGACACGAAGCTGAGTACGTAGTTACGGTTCACCCGGCATTGGTAAACATCATCTCATTTACCAAGAACTTTGTGAGATTTTTCTTTTATTAAAATTAATTTTTATTACAAACTTGGTACATGTTTATTGTAAAACAAGATACAAGGCAGACTAGCCAAAGGAACCCATAGTTCGCCCAGAGAAAGTCCAGTGAACACCCCAGTAAGTACCTTCCCACGTTTCTGTTGTGTTTTCCTAGCGTTGTCACTGAATTGTTGTCCTATCTTCAGCACCCGGGCTGGAGAAGGGTAGTCTGTCTCGCCACCTGCAAAAGTGAGTGGTTACCCTCTCACCCTCACATTCGCTGGCTCCTTTTTTGCTTTTCTTTTTCCTCCTTTTTTTTTCCTTTCTCTCTTTTTTCTTTTCTTTTTCTTTCTTCCTTCCGTCCTTCCTTTCTTTCTTTTCTTTTCTTTTTTTGTGGTCATTTGAGTACAGGATGCACTTCTCCAAAGAAGGGAGGCCCTCCCCACCATTTTATAGAGACCCAAGGCCTTGCAGGTGTGTGGGCCATCTAGAAATGCAGAATCTCAGGCCCTACCTCAAACTAGGGACCAGAACCTGCATTTAAACAAGATGCACAGGTGATCCATATGCCCTGGGCAAAGATGCACAACTTGGAGAAATGAGCAAATGCTTTATGTTGTTAAGATCAGAGACCCCAAAATAACTTCCAGAAACCTCCTGTTTCTGACCACGGATCCCAGCCAGCACTACAGTGCTACCTTGTGGCCAGCTCTAGCTGTAGTGGGGAGAGAGGGTTGGGCTAGAGAGAGGGCAGGGCTTGGAGAGGAAACCCTTTACCTCCTCCCTCTGACGTACTTTCTGAATGGTGGAACCCTAGCCCCTGTAATGCATGTCACCTCCTGTTTCCAGTCATACTGGGTGACTGGGACAGTGACATTCAGTGAGACTGTATGTGAAAGCATCTTGAAAAGTAGGGTGCAAATTAGAGCCAGGGTTGGCATTCAGACATTTAACTCCAGATAAGACACTTGGGGGACCCTGGACTTTGGTCTCTATCTAAGCAGGAGCCCAAGTATGAAACAGACTTGGCCTCTGATCCCTCAGCTCTAGCCTCACATCTGGAATAGTTAGGGCTTCAAGGAAAAAAAAAAAAAAAAAAAAGGTTTTCTTCACAGGACACTATAGGAGCAGGAATGCCTATTTCTGAGTCCATCTGGGTATTTTGAATGCCCCGTGCACAGGCAAGATCCTGAGCTCCTAATAAATCCTTCCCTCCCCCAAACATGAATTACTTTCTGGGGGACTTGGTTTCTGAGCTCATTATATTCCTGAGAAGTGCTAACTCCCCACTGGCGGGGGGGGGGGGGGGGGGGGGGGGGGGGGGGGGGATAGTGGGGGGGGTGCAGGGTGGGGAGTCTAGGAGGAAAGTGTTTCTCTGATGAAAAGCAATACAGACAGGAGGCAGGTACCATGAAGAACAGGGCAGGAGCCTAGACTGGGGAAGCACTGTTCCCAGGATCACACAGCAACACCGTGGGAACCAGGACTTCATCTCCAAACCCACATGTGTTCTCGGTAGTAGAAATAAATAGGGACATTGTGGAAGTTTATGAGCTGCTACCTCAAGAAGGGTCTTGTGAATTTCCCAAGGTCTTATAGGTATAAGTGTCCAAATCAGACTAGAAACTATACCTCTCCTAAGGGAAAATGTATTCAATTGTCATCTTAATAAAAAGGCAATTTGGAAATGGAAGTAATCAGGGGTAGTGGAGGTGAGAGGTAGGGATCAGGTAGTGCAGCTTCGGGGACCTCCCTGTTATAACCTCCATTGCAGGGAGCAATGAACTTAGTTCATGACTGGTTAAATAGCTTAGAAGTACTTAAAGGGAAAACAAAAACTGTGCTAGAGCTTCTCAGACCAAACTGAACAGTGAACAAAAAAGAAAACTGAGGTAGACAGGTGGGGATGGAGGCCCACAGTGCACTGGTGCTAGTTCTCCCTCTGCAGGCTCCCTCTCCAGTGTCTTCTTTCCCCAGCTGAGGCCAAAGCTCTTGGCGGGACTTCTAGAGTGCTCCTCACTGCTTGGCTTAGGAGAGGATGACATTTTCCTGTGGAGCTCCCAGCCCATCCCATCCCCCTGCTTGCCCCAGGACCCCTCTTCTGAGAACTGAGGCTCAGATTTCTAACTCAGCCCCAAAGAGCTAACCAGGCACAGAAGCAGTCAGAAGTAGTCAGAGAGGCACAGGGATCAATTGTCAGCCCCTCCCGGGGTGAGGAAGGGACTGGGAAGCTGGAATCTGGGTGGATTTCAGCCCTGGTGTAGAGCACAAGCTTATCTCACTATCTGAGCGCCTGGAATGGCTGCTCGCTGGGCGTGGGCAGAACAGAGCCCCAGTCATGGCTTTCAGGCATGGAAGCTTCAGCAGCCAAGAGATAAAGTGGGAGAACCACAGCCTCACCGAGCCTAACTCTGCCCTGCTCTCCGCGCCCTGCAGCCAGCCAGGGCTTCTCCACGTGTACTCCCGCCTCCCATGCCACCCCGCACCTGCCAGCCTCAGTTCTTGAAGCAGAGCTCTAGTTCCCTGGGAGCAGGCTGCCTGCTGTCTCTGCAGAAAACCAAACTCCTGGCACCAGGGACCTTCTATGGTTCTTATGCCAAGCCCCCTCCCAGCATCATCTCCCATAGCTGCCCTTCCTACACCCCTGGGTTTCAGCGGGCACACTACTAGTTGTTCCCCCAGATACCCCAACATGTTCCTTATCACCATGAATTTGCTCTGACCTCTCCAGGAGCCACCTAACTGCATCTGCACCTCCAAGACAAGCAGCCCACCAACCCAGCGAGAGCCCAGGTCCTTCCAGCACCCACTCCCCGCACAGCCCCAGTGTGTGAGACCCAGCTCAAACACCAACCTGTCAGGTCCTGCTCTCACAGAGGCCCAGCTCAGGAACATGGCGTGCCCGCGTGCAGCCCTGTGGAGGGTTTCTTACACGATGAGAAAATGGGCACGTTGATGAGCATTTTAAAAATTTCCCCCTTCTGTGTAACACTTTCCTTTACCCCACATTTTCATCAAAGTCTCACACAGTGATGTATTTACCTTAGGTGAAATGAGGTGTGCCCATATTTTCCCTGCAATGATGCTCATAAAGATAAGTGTCCAATCGCAGGGTTTGGGGACAGGGGTCTTGCTGGTAGAGTTGGGGGTGAACAGGTGGAGCATGACAAAGACAACTGTACAGTGGGCATCTCTAGACAGAAAGAAACAACCCACCCTCTTTCTGGCATATTCAGTAAGTTGTACCAGACACTGCTGGTCTCCCCTTCACCATCTCCCCTTTGCTCCCAGCCCTCATTTTGTCCAGGTAGCAGCTGGTCATGTTTTAGAGGAAGTCTTCACCCTGGGGTGCCCAGGGGTTCCATCTGGACTTCTCTAAGATAAACGTGGTGTTAATCCCATCTCCCTTGCCAGAGGCTGATTTAGAAAGGGTCACGGATACTTTCCAGGCGACGAGAATGTCCAGGAAAGTCTGCTGGGACTTGAGGGATGCATACTTTGTTTGGACAGAGATGGGAGAAGAGAAACAGCCTTTTCTCCCCCTGAATGTTGTTTGGGTGTGGCCCCTGGAAGTATGGCCATCATGCTGGACCCAGAAGAGCTCCAAAGAATAAACCAAGCTGGTAAAGATGGCAGTGTAGACCAATGGGAAGAGCCTGAAGCCTGGCAAATTCACTGAGCTGCAGCCAGAAATGATCCCGGGACCGTTCCTCATACCTATGGGCACCGATTGTCAGAACAAACGTTCTTCAAATTTAAGCCTCTTTGCCTTGGACTTTCTGTTACTTGCAACCGAATGCATCCTAAATGATGCAGAAGGTAACCCTGAAGGGGCAGGGGAAAACCAGATTTTTGGTTTATTCCATTTGAGGCTTCCTTTGCCATCCACTTTATAAGTAAATATGTGGCTAAAATGTCACCTAGCCCCACCCCTCTTAGACTCCAGGCCAAGTCCATTGCTCTTGCCAGCTTCCAGCAGAACAGCTGACTGACCATAAGCCCAACATTAGGGAAGAGTTCCCTCACTCTGGGTACCAAGCACTTGCATATACGTTATCCTCTGAATCCTCACAACTGGCCAGAAAAGCAGCAGTTTCCAGCTGCAACTTCTTAGATGAGGAAGCTAAAGCCCCAGAAGACAAGCTCAAGCTCACATGACTTGCCTGGGAGGGACTGATCCTCAACCCAGTGTAGCAAAGTGCATTGCAAAATGAATGAGAAGTCTGAGACTCTTCCTCCCGAGATAAGGCGGGGAGACTTGCATGTTGGTTTTCACTGGTACTCTGGGGAAATCCTTTCTGTGGGCCTCTGAGGAGGGTGGATGGTTCCCATGCCCTTGACTTATCTTCATAGGGCTTGCTTGTGAGGCTTAAAGATAATGTCTGTGAAGTATGTGGATTTGGTTGCTTCAGATCCTACAAAGTAGGATAGTTGGTGCAAAAGCTGGAAGGGACTGGCTGGTGCTTAAAAGGAGCCTACCACTATGGGACCGTGCCTCCTGTCACCCCCTCTGCCCGCCCCCCCAGCTCCAGCAGTGTGGATCCCACCAAGGCAAAAGCGGCAGGAGCAGGCCCGTAGTTTACAGAACACCTGGGAGAGGCCGTGGGTAGCTGGGTAATTTCCAAATTAGTTGTAGGAGAAACCTAACAAAACAATCTGCAGGCTAAGCATCCCGGGAGCTCTGCCGTGAGACTGACAACCTGGAATCCGGCAAGTACAATGCTGCCGACCACAGACAGGAGGGCCCTTCCTCCTGGGGGAAGGAGGGCTGACTTCCTTCCAACAGGGGCCAGCCTGGGCCTGCAGCCGGGTGATAGAAGAGCAACCCCAGAACTGAAAGAATCTTTCCACCCAAATCCCAAACCATACTGAACATAGACAGCTTTCCCGAAACACTACTGCAAGGATGGTCGGTGTAGTGAGTTAGGGGCCCTGGCAAACACCTCACTCCTCAGCAAGGGACTTTCAGGCCTCATTTCAAGCTCAGAAAACCTGGGTTGCTCCCTTTGTGCCCTGTAGACCAGCCTGGAGCATTTTGTTTGGCACTTTCTTGTTTTCCGAGAGACTGTCGGGCTTCATCAACAAAGCACTGGCTCAAGTTCTGGCTCCCATAACTGAGTAAATCTCAGCCTCAACTTTCCCAGATATAAAATGGGCACAACACCACCTTCCCTTTTTAATATTGATCATGATGGCTAACATTCAGCGAGGTATGTGGCAGGAACCATAGTGCTTTTCAATCTCCACAAACTCCCCTGGGAGGTAGTAATCATGAGCTAGGAAATGGTGTGAGCAGACTTTAAAGCCCAGATGTCTGACTCTAGAAGGGCTCAGACATAGCACTTTGCACCCTGAAGCTCCCAGTTCTCAGAGAGGCACTGGGTTAGCAACTGAAAGACCTTGCAGTGGGACCAACTTTGTGCGTGATCCAGGGTGAGTCCTTTGCCTTTGGTCCCTTCTGCACCAATGGTGGATGTGTGTGGCTGGAGACAATCAGATGACTTTCTGTGTCCCATTAGCACAATAGTTGATGAGGCTCAGTCTCCCTGCCCTGAACATGAACACATATTCATGGAATAGCAAAACAGATGTGAAAAGTAAGTCCTTCTATACTGTTATCTCATGAAGTCCTCACAACAAACCCAAAGTGAGTGGGAAGGGGGAGGTTTTACTCTACTTATCTTTATAGTATGGAAAACTGATGTCCAGCGAGGGATCTCCAGCAAATGGGATGGAACTCATGCTGGACTTGTGACACTAGGCACTTGTGACACCTGGTGCTCTTGCTGTTAACCGTATAAATTTTTGCAAATAATGCGAAAACAGCATAGTACTAACCTGGTTATAAATGCTGTGCCTGGTATTGTGCCTTGCCTGCAGTGGGTGCTCACAGCATGCAGACCTAGAGAAGTGGTTTGGTAGGAAGAATAATGAGAGTCACCCTCTTCTTGGTTACTAATCAAGGGTCTTGGGGGCTCAGGACTAGAATCTATCTAGATCTGGGCTCAATCTCATAAGGTACTTAGACCCAGGCCCTTGCTCTCTGTCCACCATCTATGGTGTTCTCCTTCCAGATGGGACACTGACGGCTGTCCCAGGCCTCACATGCCTCATCCTCCAGCCACCCCTCCTATCTGTTTATATAATCGCAAAGTGCAGTGGCAGTTTCTGACATTGTTCCAATGACCCTCCTCCTGGTATTCAGTGCCTGTGTAATCCTCTCCCATTGATACAGACGTGCTGGCTTGCTCCTAATAAATAGAATATGCCACAAGTAAAAGCGTGTACCTACTATCTTTGGGGTGTAAGAGACCGTGACTTCTATCTTGCTAGCACTCTCTCTTGCTTGGTCTACTGAACAGGCTGCCATGTTACAAGATGCTGTATGGTAATGGAAAGAAATCAAGGGGCTTAAAAGGAACTGATACCTTAATCCAACAGCCCATAAACAACTAATCCTGCCAGCAACCAGGTGAGTAAGAAAGGAAGCTGATGCTTTCCAGTGGCACCTAGAGGTGATTGCAGGCTTATGAGAGACCCTGAAGTAGAGGACCAGAGAAACTGAGATACTATTGTTTTAAGTCACTATGTTTGGGGTAATGACTTATGCAGCAGTGGATAACTGAAGCACTCTCACACTATAGCCTCTGGCCAGGCTGCTCCATCTCAGCCAGGCACACACACACACACACACACACATGCAGGCACACAAGCATTTCACTCTTGAGTGGAAAATTTGTGCTCTTCTTCCAGATTAGCAGAGACACGATAAGGGGGTCTCTGAAGCCTAGGGAACCCCCTAGCTGTGTGTATTCCTGATGCTCAGAGGGACTAAAGATTGGGGCGCTCCTGTAAGATAACAAAGTGATGGAAGACCAGGGAGCTGACCCCCAAAGAGCCTTGGTCTATGTTCAGGACTCCTGGTTACCCAGTCATTTGACAGTGAGTATTCCACTATTTCTTTAGAGGATTCAAGCGTCTCAATATCCAAATCCACCTTTAGTCTTTTTAAAAAATGATTATGAACAGTGTCAATAAATACACATTCAACCCACTTTCTTGTGACACTAAGTCTGACATTAAGATTGGATTTAACTGCTTCCAAGAGGAAATGAGTAACACACATTAAACGAGAGGTTTACCTTTGGAGACCTCAGCCAACCTCAGTCTGGGACAAGGTTTTCTCAAAATTACACCCATGACTTCTGCTCCAATCTGTGTTTGGACTCTTTAAGAGAGGCAGCTTTTTCTAACATTCCCTTCTGCATAGAGAGTAAAGACTTCAAGGGGAATCCAGATCATTTGATGCCATAGCAAGCTTTTTTTTCGGACTAGGCCATAGAAAAATGAGGATCTGCCATATTTTTAAGTAGTGAATTCAAAAAACAAACAGTACATGAGCCAGGTAGGTAAGCCAGGATGGGTAGCAGCATGTGTGAGGAAAGCTTAGCTAATAGTGCTGTGCTCACTATGAGTCAGGAGTGTCATGAAGCTGCCATAATAATGAATTTTATTTGACTGCCCAGAGTGTGGACATGATGGCCCTGCCTGACTTTACTTTGTTCAGAGCATCTGGATTGCAATCCCTGAGTTTCACGCTTCATTAGGGATATTGATTAGCTGGAATGTATCAGGAGAAGATTATCATGATGGCAAAGGAACTACAAACTGTCCCAGGAGGAGCAGTTGGAAACTGTAGCTTATGTAGCTGAGCAAAGTCAGGCTGGAACATTTTCCCCTATCTTCAAATCCGTGAGGAGTTTCCAGGACAGAGAAGTTAGGAGGGAGATAGATTAATTGGATCAATGCTATGTAGCATCAGATTTCACCCATATAAAGGAAGACATTTCAAAGAGTCAGAGGTAACTAAGGGTGAAACTGACTGCCTCAAGCAGTTGTTGCAAGAGAATTCATTCTTTGAGTGGGGTGGGGTCAAAATACCTTTTGAAGAGTCTTTTAGCCCTAAGTCTCCTAAATATCAGGTACTCCTTAAAGATTCATCCACATACATATTCCATGGTTTCACACCCACCTTCTAATAGGCATTCTGGTGGCACCCCCAAGAGGGCAAGGTACACTATCCCACGACACTATCAACTAGGCGTCTGTGGTTACAAGCAACAAAGTAAAATTCCAGATGACTGAGCAGAAACAGGAACATATGGGAAGCTGCAGGAGAGTTCACAGAGCTGAAAGGAAAGCTGAGGAATCAGGTTGGAAAAAGGCAGTATTCAAGATAGTAGCTAAGAGCTAGTGGATGAGCTCTTCTGAGTGCCACCAAAGGTGAATCAAGTTGTCAGTCACTGAAAAAGATTGTCTGAATAGTTTCTTTAGTATCACGTGCCTGCTCTAGGCTAGCAGAGAACAGGGCACAAAGGTCCACAGACAGTCCACAGACAGTCCAGTCCACATCCACTGACTTCTGTAAAACAGAATCTGAAAGATGTTATCAGAAGAAAGGGAAGCTGTGCAGACATAATAAAGGAATCTGTGTCTTGCTCTTGCCAGGATAAATCAGCAGGACTAGTTGGAAGAATCTAATATTTTTCCACCAGTTATAAGTCAGTCATAGCTCAATAAATTTGGAATTAATTAAGCTGAATTTAAATTAAATATTTTCCATTTAAGTGAGAGTAATGATTTCTCTGACCTTATAAAAGGCTCACAAACTTGTCAAGGTCAAGGCTCTGGGTACACTGATACTTTAAGATGTGGCTATAGACATCCTGGTGGCTGATGGAACTTCTGCTTCCATAAACAAGTACCAAATGCCAACGGAAATAACAAAAATATCTGGATAAAATCTTTTTAAATGCAGGCTGAGTCAGTAAGAAAGTTTTTTTAAAAAATCCACAGAAAGTGAAATGAAAGCAAGATTTCTAGAAGTGAGCAAGCCCTAAAGACAGCTCTTACCCTGAGCATTATCTACCAAATCCTACAGTGTTGTGTAGGATTTCATGAGGTTGAGGAGACAAGAGAAAAATCTAGGGTCTGTTCTAGGTGGAGAAAGTACAAAAAATTGGGTATGTATATGTGTATATATATATATATATATTACTCTCAACATTAAATACACTTTCTTTTTACCTCATATATCCCACAGTTGAAGGTGAAGAAGTTGGTAATCTGAAAATGCCAAAGAATACAGATAAAAAGGCCCTCCAAAAGTCTTCTCTACTCAATCAAACAAGCAGGAAAGGTGGCAAGACAAAAATCTTTATATCTGTTGTACTCCAGTCAAACAACATAGGAAAAGATGACCCCACCCACACCCACATTTACAAAGGCCAAGTGGAGAGCCTGGACCCCGGTACAGGTTGCTGTGACAGGCTGAATAATGGCCCCCAGAGACATGCAGGTGCTAATACCTGGAACCATGAGTGTTACCTTATGATGAAAGTTAAGAATCTTGAGATGGGGAGATTACCCTGAATTGTCGAGGTAGTCTCCACATGTAATCAGCAGTGGCCTTATAGGAAGGAAGAAGAGGAAAATTAAATACAGAATTAGAATGATGTAGCCACAAGCCAAAGAATATTAGCAACCTCTATAAGTTGGAGGAGACAAAGAACACATTGTCCCCTGGAGCCTCCCAAAGGAATTAGTCTTGCCAATACCTTAATTTTAGCCCAGTTAAGCTGACTGAAGACTTCTGACCTCCAGAATTGTGAAAGAATAAATATGTAGTGCTTTAGGTCACAAGGTTTGTGCTAATTTGGTTTTGCAGCTGTGGGAAAATGATAGAGCTATCTATAAGAAAATAGATATTAAAATATAGGCAAATTGAAAAAAGATAAAAATATATACCATGCAAACATTAAGCAAAATAAAATAGTAGGGTTATATTAATGCTAGATAAAATAGACTTTAGAGCAAAGGAAAAGACTAGAAATAGAGAGGGACAGGGGCCTCCTGGTGGCGCAGTGGGTTGAGTGCTGCGCTGTGAAGGTGTTCACAGCCTCTGCAGTACTGGTTCGATCCCCGCTGGCCTTGGAGCAACCCACATGGCAAGCAGACCTCTCCTGCCTCGCCCACTGCTCCCCTCAGCAGTGTATTTCGTCAGACTGCCTGTTCTGTTCCCCGCTCTGTCTCTGGTGAATCCTCTCACCCTCCCACGCATCTGGCCTGTACCCCGGTTCTTGTATAAATAAAATAAATCTTTAAAAAAAAAAAAGAAAAGAAACAGAGAAGGACATTAGATAATGACAAAAGGGTAAATCCACCAAGAATACATAGCAATGTTTTAATGCAACAATTGTGCATAAGTGTGTATATATATATATATATATATTTGTATATATTTATATACAAATTTATATTTGTATATTTATATATTTGTATATTGTATATTTATATACAATTTGTATATTTATATATTTGTGTATTTATATATATATGTATATATATATATATATTTGGTGTATATATATATATACACCAAATAATAAAGTAAAAATATCCCAAGGCCCCTACAAAAAACAAAGCAAAATCCTATAATTAATAAACCCAACAAGGTTACAGGATATGAAATTAACATAAAAACAGTAAATTTCTATGTGCCAACAGTCAATGTGTAAACATTAAAAAAATATATATAATATTATAATTCCTCAAACCAAAAGACTTAGAATAAATCTAACAGAAGATGTATAGGACTTGTATGCTATAAACTACAAAATGCTGATGAAAGAAATCAAGATAGTCTAACTAAATGGAGAAATGTACGATGTTATGATTAGAAAACTCAATATATAGAGATACAAATTCTTCCCAATTGATATACATGTTTAATGAAATTCCTATAAAAAATCTCAGAAAATGCTTTGGTGATATAGACAGTATTCGAAAATGTATGTAAAGACAATGAACCTAGAATATTTAAAATAACTTTGTAAAAAGAATAAAGTCTATCTTAGTGCAGATTGCTGTAACAAAATGCCATAAATGGGGTAACTTATAAACAACAAATATTTATGTCTCATAGTTCTGAAAGCTAGAAATTGAGATCAGGGTGCACGCATGATCTGGTGACAGCCTTTTTGTGGGTTGCAGACTGCCAACTTTTGGTTGAATCCTTACATGGTAGAAAGAGGAAAGAGCTCTCTGTGGGCCTTTCATAGAGGCACTAACCTCACTCATGGGAACTCTGTCCTTGTGATCTAATTACCTCGTGATCTAATTACCTACCTGATGCCCTCACATCACGGGTTGGGATTTCAAGAATTTTGAGAGGACACAAACATTCAGTCTATTGCAGAGTGCGGAAAATCATTTACCCAGTTTCAAGACTTCTTAAATGCTACAGTATTCAAGACATTATAGTACTGATAAAGAGACAGACATATAGATCAATGAAAAAGAATCAACTTTTTTACAAAGATGCAAAAACATTTCTATAATCGGAAGATAGCTTTTCAACAAATGATTGAAAAGGACATCTATAGGCAAAAAAAAAACTGAGTTTCAACCTAAGTGTCGTACTTCATAGAAAAATTAAAATGGATCATGGACTTAAATGTAAAATGAAAAACTATAAAATTTCTAAAAAATGGGGAAATATTTGGGATATAAGGCTAGGTTTAAAGTTTAGCTTTGACACCAAAAGCACAATTCACAAAAGAAAAAATTACTAGATAGAATTTTATTAATATTAAGAATATTTGAAGCCAACAATAATTCAATTAAATAGGTAAATAAATATAAAAACACTTGTCTGTGAAAGACTGTTAAAAGTAAGAAAAGATAAACTAAACACCGAGAGAAAATACTTTGAAACCACTTATTTGACAAATAACTTCTGTCTAGAATATACAGACAACTCTCAAAAAAACCCTTCAACCAACAAGAAAATAAGCAAAAGAGAGATTTCATTGAAGAGGATATACAGATGGCAAGTAAGTACATGGAAGCGTGTTTAACATCATTAGCCAGGAGGGAAATGCAAATTAAAACCACAATGAGATAGCACTGCATACCTATCACAATGACTAAAATTAAAAAAAACCAGTGACAACACCAAATGCTGGCAAGGAGTCAGAGAAACTGGATCATTCATATATTACTGGTGGGAACTGAAATGATACAGTCACTCTAGAAAACAACTTGGCAGTTTTTTATTAAGCTCAACACGAAACAACCACAAAACTCAGGAAAACTGGAAATACCCCCAGATGTTTTTCAATGAGGGAATAGTAAACAATCTATGTTACCCTGGAATACCACTCAGCAATAAAAAGGAATGAATTATTAATATACACAACGACCTGGATGAACTTCCAGAGAATTATGCTGGATGAAAATAAACCTATCCAAATAGACTACATGCTATATGATTCCACTTACATACCATCTTAAAGTGAAAAAGTATAATAATGGACAAGTTTTTTTTTAAAAACAACTTACTTTTTTTTTTTTA